GTGCTCTCACTCAAGGAAAGATTATTTTGTCATAAACAATGAATAGTATATTATCTGACTTAGTGGGCTTGAATTGACCAGAACAATGCCCACGTGCCAAATACGTGGGTAATGAGTCACTTTGATTGATAAACAAAAAAAACCCCAAACCCAACATTCATTAATGTTCATGTCTGCTCACTAACAGCTTTACTCTGTCTTTGTTACTTTGTTACTATGGTAATTAGCGCTAAATCAAGTTTTTCACTGGGTGAATACGTCATTCAACCTCATCTATTTTACTTGTGGTGTTTTGCTATTCTACACATTTCTGCAGCAATTTTGTTAAATTAAAGTCCCACTGATTTCCCTTACAAAGTTCATTTTGGAGCACCGGCGTGACACTGTTGTAGTTTCATCATCGGTCAAATAATAAACTCTTCTACAAAACAGATGGTTTTTAATGATTTTTAAAATGATTTTACTGGTTTAACTGCCATTATATAAATACCAGAATAGGTCTTTATTTTTGTGTTTAACAATATTAAAGAGTCCTGACTAGAAAAAGAAAAAGAAAAAACAGAACAGCAAAAAACCCCAGATGTAACAAACAACACCTTTATTTAACTGAGGACCTTAATACTACATTCACACTACGAAAGTAATGGTTAGAGACTTTGCTATGGCCAAAATTAATGAAACTGTGCAGTTAACTTGGACTCCACTGTTGTTGCGACTGAAGTGGTTGGTTTGAAGATGGGAACATGGTCAGTGATCACTCAAAGTCAAACCACCTTTAGTGGATCATCAGTTTGTTAAGAAATTCCACCAAGTTGGCAATTACATGCAATCTGTTTATGATAATACAGCGATTAACTGTGACAAATCCACAAAGTCTGTTACTGTCTGCATGCATAGACATTCATAATTTAACAGAAGCACATATTAACTACTTACACTCAGAGTCCGGCCAGAAGCTTAAAGATTTTTAATCAGAAATTCATCTACATCTAGTGATATAGACACAAAATGAGATTGGTGCTTGGGAACCTTTGCCACCTGGTTGTACTTTGGTTATACTCCAATATATAAGCAAAGGTTGACTCAAGTCCCATATTGCAGAGAGACACATCACAGACCTACAGACTGACTTGGACTGATTGCAATGTGTTCATAATCCGTCTGGGTTTATAGATTAGACAGTAATTAAATGCAAACCTTTGCCAATCTGTCTGAGAATGAGAGTGTCTAACGGAGACGGTTAATGTGAGGGAGATTACGACTGTTTGGAGACAGGTTGCCTCCAAGAAGGCTACCTGTGCAATCGCCATGCAATTGAAAGTGGTCCAGTTGGTTGGCACAGCTATTTGTAATAAGTAGAGCAGCTAAACTTGTTTGCCTCATTTTTATAATCAGGTTACACTGATTAAAAGTTAAAGACTTTTATGCTGGTAGCTGCAACCATGCAGTTTCAATAAAAAGTGCAATAATTTGTATGGGGCTATGCAAGTTGACTCCCTAACTGTTATATCCCCCAGATCTGCTGCATGTTGTCTAGAGATTTGTAATTCCCAAATCCAACCTAGCATAAGACTCTAAAAGGTTTTTGTTGAAACTGCAGAAAACATTATGCAATAGACTGTATATACCCAATTATTAGAAATGTGACCTTCAAGGAAGGTTTATTTCAATAATCAAGAAAATCGTGCTTCAGAATTTGCAAGCAAGTACAAAAAGAGGATAAATAATTTGTCAGCAAAAAATACTAAATAAAAAAAACATTTTCCACTTTCCAAGGATTCAGTGTTTCACTTAGTCATTACCTTACAGGACAGACACTAAAAGCATTCCTGCTCAAATATATTTTGTTGACTTTCACATGTGCAGCGCTCATCAAAAGTGCTGCCTGCAAGCCCAACAACTGACTCACTTAAGTCCAACCAGCGACTTCATCGAATTAATTTTTGAATTGAACAAATTTGTTTTGATAAATAGTTCTGGTTCAGGATGCATATATAAACCTACCACTTCACCTTTATTTATTTTCAAATGTTTACAGCAGAGCCCTCTGTGTGCTGCCCTCTAAACGCGCACAAAAATCTATTTTTTTGAATATCTGTCAAACTGTTTCGGATCATCAAAGAAATTTGATATTATACAGAGATAACCTGAGTAAATACAAAATGCAGTTTTTAAATCATTTATTAAGGGAATGGAAAAGGTTGTCCAAACCTACCAACGTTCTATATGAAAAACCGATTGCCCTTCAACCTAATAACTGGTTGTGCCACCCTTGGCGAAAAAATTGCAATCAAGTGTTTGAGATAACTGGCACTTCAGCTACATTGGAGATTTTTGCAATCATGAACGGCCTGTTTAAAGTAATTCTAAAGAATCTTAATTGCATTTAAAAGTTCACACTTTGTGCTTCAGCTTCTGTGCAGAAACTACTGGACAGACTTTCACCAGGATTTTCTGGTGGAGAGCAGAATTCATAGTTCCATCAATTATGGCAGGTCGTCCCAAAACAGCAAAGCAGTTCCAGATCATCACACTACCAGTACTATGCTGGTGCCACAATTGTTGGTATGATGCTTTTTTTTTTTAAATGAAATGATGTGTTCATATTTATGATAAATGTAACGGAACTCAAACGTTCCAAAAAGTTCAACTTTGCTCTCGTCAGTCCATAGAATATTTTCCTAAAGGTTTTGGGGATCATCAAGATGTTTGGGGAGCTTTTTCGGCAAATGTGTACTCTTTTTGATCACCAGTGGTTTTCTCCTTGGACTCTCCCACGGATCCCACTTTTGCCCAGCCTCCGTCTTATTGGTGAATCATGAACTCTGACCTTAATGGAGGCAAGTGAGGTCTGGAGTTCTTTAGATGTTTTTCGGGGTTATTCTGAGACCTCCTGGATGAGTGATTGATGCGCTATTTGTGTAATGTTGGTAGGTCGGCCATTTCTGGGAAGGTGTTTGAAGGTTTCTCTGTTTGTCGATAATGGCAATCACTGTGATTCACTGGAGTCAGAAAATCTTAGTGATAGCTTTGTAACTCTGCACTGATAGATGTAAAAGACTTTGTTTCTTGGCTATGTCTTTATATCACAGTGTAATGTGTTACTTTTTTAGATCTATTAGCCCAATTCACTTTGTCAGACAGTTTCTATGCAAGCAATTTCTTGATTCATGTTTAGCAGTAATCAGGCACGGGTGTGACTAGTGAAACTGAACTTAGCTTTCCAAAGAATCGGGACAATCACCTTTAATTCATGATACATGAATGATGCATTTTGTACACAGGATCAGGTAGATTTGGATAGCTTGTTTCCATTACAATGTCAAGTTTATTCCTAACAAAGAAAATAGTTGATGAGTAATTATCCATTCAGATAACAGGTGGATGTTGGGGCGTGTAGGAGTTGAAGCAAGCAGCAGCAGTGACACATGGAGGGATATGAAACCTGCACCTTTACACAGCTACATGTACATGATGCAGTGAAGTTCAAGGTGTTTGACTGAAAAAGCTGACAGGCTTTGTTGTATCTAGGTTTGCTGCACGAATTTACACGAACCTCACGATAAAGATTTCTAAATAAATGCGCTCAAATAATTGCTTTGTCAGGGATACATTTGGTTTTAAATATAATTAACTAAATTTACAGACTGTGTGGGCTAAACCCAAGGGTCCTTTCTAATTGTACTATTAAGAAGTGAACATGCTAACATTTAACTTCATGGCCCGCAAACTTACGGTACTATCAGTGTATATAGTTGTGAAGAGAAAAGTATTCATAGGATTCTATATTTCTTCATTATGTGTTGCTTCAGTTAATTGCAGTTTGCAAGTGTTTATTTAAGCACAACCCTCTTAAAGTGGACATGAAACAGTACATGTATTAAGGCCAATTTACACCATGGAGCCCTATGCTGAAACTGTCACAGTTGTCTGTGAAGCAGGATCTAAGATATAAGTCTTTAAAGTTAGAGTCACTGGCTGGCTCGTCGGTTACTGCTAATAGACTTAAGTTATGTTAGCTAAGCAGTGACAGACCTGCTGACTCAGTGAAAAACAAGGACACTAAAACTAAAACACTGTTGGCTAGCTGCACTGAAATGAGAAAATGTACCCATTAGCCATAATGTTTGGGTTTGCTTTGTTTGGTTTTCATCAAACATGGATTTTCCCAAACATTTTCACTTTAACTCGTCTCTCCAAAGGACATCCAGAAGTCTTGCCTTTTTTCCTCTGACAAGACATGGAACCACAGCTTCCTATTCAGTATCCTTGTTTGCAGCCTTATATGACTACATCCAAGTTTATTAAAGCATTTAATCACCTAATTCACATTTTCAGTTCTTGTGAATGAATGAGTGAGTGAATAAATCGCTTTGTCCCACAGCTATATTTAGCTACTCAGAATGCATGGTGAGTTGATAAAAATTCTCTTCCTGAGCACAAGAGAAAACTGGCAAGACAATTTATCTCTTTGGACCAGCCTGTTCCCAAAATGTTTGTTGCCCAGCAACAGACATCACACAGATCCTTTGAGAGAGGGGAAAAAAGGCTTGTTGTTGCATTAACATACAGTCTGTGTGTGGCTTTGTTGAGAATCCTTTGTCATCATTTTGACCCACAGGGGGAGGTGTGGGTGTATGGACACCATATAGGAAGTGGTAAAGCGTGGGGTGATACTGCCACATACAGAACCGTGGGCACAGATAAAGAGCAAGGAGGAAGGAAAAAGGAGCTGTGGAGAAAGCAGAAAAAGAAGGCACAGAAGTGGGACGAAACAGAAGAAGAAACAGAAACAAAGAGTGTAAAAGGGGACAAATTCATACAGGCTTATATGTCCAATGATGTCCAAGTGACCACTGGACTGGTGAAGGCCTGCCATCCAATGTTATGAGAACCAAGGCTTTCTTTCAATCAAAGGTGACGTACAAATTTAAAATTGTTGGACTGGATGAGGGGGATAACAAACCATATTTTGTTATGGTTAAAAGTGTGTTCCTCACCTGTGGCTGCGGTAAATGTTTAGCAGTATAATGACGAAGCCCAAGCAGCAACAGGCCAGGTAGGGGCTACCAAAGAGCCCCGAGAGTCTTCGTGTACGATGCTCCCATCTCGCCACCTGACAACAGGAAGACAATGACAACGGTGTTTACCATAAATATCCAATTAAACTGCATTAAAAAACTGAAAGTTAATGATTGTTTGTCACACTATGTCAGTCTAAAAAACCCTCAAAGCTCAACTTTTTAAACTCAAGTTTGGCAGAGCTACAGCATTGCTATGTGGAGCAAGGACAACCTTACAGAAAGAAAATCATTTCTGCAGCACTCCACCAATCAGGCCTGTATGGTAGAGTGGCCAGAGAGAAGCTATTCCTCAATAAAAGACACATGACAGCCCATTTGGAGTTTACTAAAAGCCACCTGAAGGATTCATCTGTATTCATGAGTAGATCGAACAGGAGGTTCTGAAGCCACTGAAGCCAGTTTTTTGCAGTCCCAGGTCAGTGAGGGAATGGGTTACACCAGTTTTACCAAGCAAGCATACTTTATAGTCCATCTACAAGCAACATTCAACCAAGAAAATAAGCTCCATGCAAAATCCTGTTCATTATATGCCCGAAACATCTAGGTCATTATCACAACAGTTTTTTTTTGTTTGTTTGTTTTTTTACAGTATTATGTATGCAACAACAATACGTGCACATGAAAACATTGGCTTTACTGGCCATGAAAAATCAGAATGCTCTTGACAAAATACTGAAAATGGTCTCCTGGTCAATTTGCATATACTTTTGTGAAGTCTCAAAAGTGCTGCCTTTATCCGCATTTTAATGAAGTTTTCAAAAATGAATAAGATTTTCACTGGAAGTGTCAAGGATGGACAGGATAAGAATATCAGACGGACAGTTCAGGTTGAGCTGTTTGGAGACAAAGTTAGAGAGGTGAAGCTGAGACGGTCTGGACATGTAGAGAGGAAGAATAGTGGCTATACTAGACAAAGGATGCTGGAGATGGAGCCGTCAGGCAGGAGGAAAAGAAGGCCACAGAGAGGGTTCATTGATGTTGTGAAAGAGGACATGTAGACGGTTGGTGTGACATAAGAGGATGCAAGGGATGGACGAGACAGAGGCAGATACACTGCTGTGTCAATCGCTAAAGAGCAGCCAAAAGAAGGCAAAAGAAAAAGAATAAAACAGGATTCTTTGGCTACCACAGCAGTTTCTCGTATAGAGACAGAGAGATCTTGTTTGCTTTTGGTATCTGGCTTTGAGCCTTAAATAGCTAAATATCATGACTTTTGTCTACAGTTTTGAAATATTGTGCCCATGATAGAGACAGAAGAGTGCTGTTTGTTTGCATATGTTGTTCTGCCCTGAAGCGATTATTTGTTCAAGTTTATTTGTTCACCTCTGAAACAGCTGGTGCATTTCCACACAGCTGTATTCTCTTGCTGGCTATTGATAAGTGTTTATTTTTTTTAAGCTCTTTATATAGTACCGTGCATATCCAGCAGGGAGTGACGCCATAGAATCTTATCTAACTGGTCACAGTTGCATTTTCCAAAACACACTTCTCTCCCAAAAAAAGAGAATGGAAAATAGTCACATCCTGCCCATTTATGCAGCACAAAAGGCATTTAACCCATCTGTCCATACGGTGAACCTTTCAGTGGCATTAGCAACTCAAAGTGCTGTTTGTGAAATGACTGAAAAACTTAAAATTACCACCTGACAGTGGGCTAAGGAAATGCATAGATGACTGTAAAAAAAAAACAAAAAAACCCAAAAACAACAAAAATGAATCCCACAGGCACAAATGTTACCATGGCAACAGCTTTTCTATGTTCAGCAGCGGCAAGGTAGGAAAAAAGAGGAGGAATATAAATATAAAGGTGAGGTGAAACAAATGTTAAGAAGTGGTAAAGAGTCCTTTATGGAGTGCAGCAATCCCCAGGTATAAATTGCATTGTTAATGGGTTAGCGCTACCTGCTCAAGACCAATCAGAAGCAGCTGAGAAAGCATGCTTAAGCATGCTGAGAAAACTTGGCAGCTCTCTTTGCATTTTTAGAATAGATGAAAAGCTTAAATCAAGAATTAATCCCCTTCTCCTTTCTCTGAAGCTCATGTCGTCTGTTTTGTTTTTTAAATCCCAGCCTTCAGCAAGCCGTATGCTGACATTTCCTTTTCCTTTCTTTCGTTTTTCTTCTGCCTCCTAACAGAGTTCAACTGCTATGTAATTAAGGGCCAGCAGCTGATGTACTTTGACTAAGATGTATGGTTACATCCACATTGCAGTCTGCTCCACATGGACATTAGCACACAGCGAGCTGGAATGAAACTGAACAATCATAGCAACAGTGGGGGAATAAATAATGATTAGGTCTGCAGATAGCAGGTTTGTGTTGAAATGATGACACAATGCATTTTACAAACACATCAACATATTATTTTACCAATTCACAATGGTTCTTTTTGAGACTCAAAGTAAGTGGCACTGATCTAAAAACATAAAAAATAAAGACAGGATGTGTGCTCAATACAAAAATAAGAAAACATTATTTTATATGCTGGTGAGAGCGCCCCATCAGCTTCACAATTCCTTGTATCACATAATAAACTGACTCATTCTAGCACCTCAATTTTGGGATGAATAACCTATAAAAGAGGTCAACTTCTGCTTTACTGCCAGTGTCATATACTTGCTCAAATGTCATCCTGATTTGGTCACTGGAGAAAAAATTTCCTGACCAGTTGGCAAAAAACACCTACTTGCAAATTTTCTAGGGTCACTCATGGGCTGCATGAACATACAGCACTTATTTACACTATGCCCAGCTTTCTGTGCATTGTGCTTCCAGAGGGTCTCTTATTTGTTAGTTGTTGGCAACCCCACCTACACCACTACACCAGACTACAGCCCCTGCTAGACTGTGCTAAACTATCAATGGAAACACAAACAGAAAATGCTGCGCTATATGGACAGATCCTAAAAGATTCCAGCTAAATGTAGCTAACTAATAAAGCTTAACATGATGTTGCTCCAACTTTGGATGTTGAAAATGCATTTAACAATGTGTGTATGCCAAAAAAGTCGAATATACAGATATAAACGAGAAGTAATTACACCTGTTGATAAAATTGCTAATAACTATTTGGTCAATTAATAATAAATTAGCTTCTGTGCTAGCACTCATTCTCCTGAATCTAGTCTTTCAGCAAGTCATTCAGGCAGGTTTCCATGTACATCTAATGTTACGTAAGCATATCTGCCTCCCTACATGTGTCCATTATATCTCTATCATAGGTTTTTCCAGAGTTGACAGAAAATCATAGGAAAAAGTCATGACAACCTGGTAATGTCAAAAATAAGAGAGGAAACATTATGTAACCATTCAAGTGTCCCTGATAAAACTACAGTTTAAGCTCCAACTGAATATAAATAAAATGCATAAGTACAGAGATGGGTTCAAAAGAGGTAGAGAGTGTACTCACCTAAGAGAGGAGGACATTTTGTGACCAATGAAATTCTTAGTCATTGATATTAAGAGTTTTATTACTTTCTGCTAAATATACCAGATGACTCAGGCTAATCCATGTTATTATACTTTATACATTAATGTGAAAAAGAATGGATACCCTCTTTAAATATTGAGGTTTTATATACTAGGGCATCACTTTTTTAAAAAAATGATCAAAAGCTTATTCAATAGGAAAGATTAAATTCATGACAGTACAATTAGAAAAAGACTGAACAAGTATGGCTTGTTTGTCAGGAGGACAAAAAAAACTTCACAAACAATGTCTTTTGGACAGATAAGACCAAAGTGGTCATGACTGCCCATAATACACATAATACACAATACAGCATATCAGCACAAACACCTCAAACCAACTGTCAAGCACGTTGGTGGAGGTATAATAATTTGGACTTATTTTGCAGCCACAGTAACATGAACTCCTTTGTATACCTAAAAACACTGTGCAGTCCAATGTGAAGCCATCTGTCCAATAGGTAAAGCAACAATGATCCATGCACATTATCAAAGAAAGGTCTAAATAGCTCACAAAAAGAACGATGTGTTGCAAAACCCAAATCAGATGGTATAAACAAATGCCTGCGAACCTCAATGAACTGAAGCAACTTTATACAGAAGAGTGACCAGTGCTCTACATGGGCCTGATATCCACTTACGAGGACATTATACTGCTGCTGTTCTATCAAAACTTTAAACGAATATCCTCATATATGGCTCTTATTTTTCTTAAAAACAAAAATAAGGTAAGAAAAAAAAAATCTGGCAATTCTTTATTTTTACATTCATCGGGCCCCAATATGCCCAAATATCAAAGAGAAATTAAAAATGCATGTCGTGGAAGAGTTCGGGTCGAGGTTAAACCATCTTATAAAGACATGTTGGGTTTTTTGGGGTTGAGTTCTACTGTGTCTTTCCCTCTACATTGACCTAAAAAATCCAAAGTAAACTTTAACAAGGAAAAAGTAACTACTGGCACAAGGACGATAAAACACTATAGATGAAATTGCACTGAATGCACTGCTGTTTGGATGTTACAATGCACCAACTACACATGCTCCCCAGGGAGCAGACTTCAAACAAGTAACAGCAGTAACTAATTGACCATGGTTTCTCTCGCTGTCCATGTCCATGCCAAAAGAGAATAATCATGACTTTCACTGGAAAAAAATTAAAATGACGACTTTGTATAAAGAAAAAAACAAAAAAAAACCCCACAAAAAACCCACAGTCTCATGGCAGTTTGTGCAAGTTTTCATTGATACGATTCACGTCGATGTACATAAAAATCTATCACTATAAAGGGCTAAAATTTCTACATTTGTGGCTTAGAGGGATTGACAGTAGAGCAAATCCTTTTGCTAGACACACGGATTATATACTTCATATGTATTATTTAAGTTTTAGTAATTTAATTTAATAAATATTAGGTCTTTATTTAAAATTATTTGGTTATTTTAGATTTAGGTTAGGACTATAAATTATTCTATCTACTGTAACTATCATGAAAAAAAAAAAGATTAGCTTAGCTAGTCTTAGTAATCTCAAACCCAACAAACATACCTCCATCATCCATATTAGCA